TAATGTTTGCATTTCTGTGACAGGCCTACAGGGGGAGCTACGTGCTGTGGAAGACTTTTGCTCCTCTGTGCTAATGTGTGCTGCTAATGAAAGCTGCCATGCAAGTAAGTGTGTCCTGACTCACAGTGGTGCATGATGGGTATGTGTTAACAGCACCAATCATCAGTGTTATTAATTAATTATAAAACAGTATAATTCATCACTGATGTTGTTTTGAAGTATTAGCACACGGAACACAGACAGAATGAAATTAATTAGTAGTGATGCCGAAAAGGACGGCTTGTAAACCAGCTTGTGATATTTCTGACCCCACTAGACAGTGGTCTTGGTTTGCTTTGGGACAAGCTTTGAACAGAGAGCTCCATCTAGTGGGGTCAGAAAATACAGCAAATGTTTCATGAAGTATCATTTTGACCATCACTGATAATTAAGTGATAGAGAAAAAACTGAATTGGGTGCAAAATCTAAGAGATTATGACTAATACTGATTGATTAAAGCCAAGTGTAGCTAGCAGTAGGTATTGTGGTATTGGGTGTGGAATTGTTCCCCAAAGTGAAAGTTTCACGTAGGTTTTTAGTGTAACTTAATAACTATCCTATTACATGGATAAATCAGTCTGTAAGCAGGGTTCTTTGGATTATTATGATGGTGATGATGAGCTGAAAGCTTCTATTTCTGTAAAATCCGTACATTAAATCTTTGCTTTCTTTTTAGATAAGATGTCAGAAATATCAAGTGAGTGGGATTTATTTATGTATTGTTTGCTTGGGACTTGTGCTGAAATACCACTCCGTTTTGTGCTTTATATGAAATTTATTTGCAATTGAACAATTAGTATTTAGAAATAAAAAATATTTTGCTTTCTTGTAGTGAGGACAGGCATCATCATTAAACCAGGTAACTTTATATATTTTAAGTAAGTATTATCCATTAGTTATCTAGATTTTGCACTATATCTTGAAAATAATCAGCCATGTCATAATTTTTAGTGTGGAGCTGGATTCGCAAAACAGCAGGTAGAGTTTGTTTTGATGTATTTCTGTGGTCCTGGATATTATGTGTTCAGAAAATAGGTATCAGTTTAATGCTGAGTTATATTTTCCATATATTAAATAAATACAGTATGTATAAAAGGTTTTTTTTAGCAAGAAGCCAAATTATGATCTTCTTACCTCCACAGTCGATGTGAATCTCGATCCCAGTACAGCTCATCCTAAACTCATCATCTCTGGGGACCAGAAATCAGTGAGACTTGGGAAGAATCGACAGACATTTCCTGAGAACTCAAAGAGGTATGACCATGTCGTCAATGTCCTTGGAAAGGAGAGCTTCTCTTCCGGCAGGCATTACTGGGAGGTTGAAGTAAAACATAAGACCGACTGGACTCTAGGGGTGGCGAAGGGGACAGTCTCAAGAAAGGGAACTTTACTTATCCGACCTGACACTGGATTCTGGACCATAATTCTGAAAGATGGAATGTACAAGGCTAACAGTGAGTCCCCTGTCCTTCTTTCCTTGAGGGAGACGCCCCAGAAGGTGGGGGTGTATGTGGATTATGGGAGGGGTCAGGTCTCCTTTTACAGTGTGGACAGCAGGACTCACATCTTCTCTTTCTCTGGATATAATTTCACCGAAGAGCTACATCCTCTCCTGCGACCGGGCCTCACTGATTACGGCAAAAACACATCACCACTGATCATCACTCCCATCGATGTTCACCAAAAATAAGTCAGTGATGTGCACTTTAGATTATAATCACACAGAAGCGTGTATTTCGAGGGGAGGAGACTTTGACATTTTAGAAAAAAATAAAAGGAATAAGGTTGTATCTGAGTCTTTGAAAAGCAAACAGACACATGGATATGACTTTTGTATATGACCCTCTGAGGTTCAGATGCTTTCTGTGGCCATGGTCAGGCTCTCCTGTCTGTGACATATTTTGATATGTATTGATATATTTCGTAACATATTTTGATTGCTGTTAATTTGTTTTTTCATGAATTACTTTTCTAAGAGAAGAAACACCTTATGATTCAGGCTGTGATTAGAAGGAGCTTGTGAAAATGATTTACAATTTTTTTTTCTTATTCTTTTTAGATTATGTTTATGTATATACTAGAGCTGGGAGGTATGACCAAAAAAATATATAATGGTATTTTTCAAACTTATATCGGTTTCACGGTATATGACGGTATTTTTTTTAAGTATAACCGGGCATTTACCACATTTTACAGGATTTTACAGGATACATTTTTGTTTTATGTTTTTGCATTGTTCCCACATTAACTATTTTATTATTAGCCATTGCGCCTATACGCTACCTCAATGATAACAGATGGCTAATGTGTTTGTTGTCTAGACTGCTTATAGATAAAAGGCTAATGTTGAGGTGTGCGCCGGCCAAGTTAACATTTTTGATAAGTGTTTAATAGTTCAGTGTTGCTGGAACGCGAGCTTTACTGACCTCGCGAAATTTCTCATAAAGACCGGGATGTCCGTCTTTAAGATGCTTCGGCAAGTTTGACGTACTACTTGACTTCGTCGCCACAGCTTTGTAGCACTGTTTGCACAGAGGCTTATCGACATCCTTAGACTTTCCATGCTCGTCTGCAAAATACTTCCAAACTGCACTTTTGCGGTTTTTTTTTTACTAAAGCAGCTTGCGAAGTGACTTAAACTGCAGCATATGCCATGTTCGGTATGTGTGTGTTGACCAGCGCGAGTGCGTTCAGCGGCTATTGAAAGGAGGGGAGGGGCTGCGCGAGTGAGTGCTGTAGTGGTGCTGTATGAAGTGTGGCGAATGCGGCAAACAACGTCCTGTTGGTATCAATAATGGTGAAAATGAGTATCTAATCAGATACTAATTTTTAATATTGATTACTATCTGGAAATCGATTTTTGACAACCCCAGTGTCAGCTATATTTTCCCTTTCTGATCTTTCGCGGTACATTTTTAGCGGCGCAGCAGTGAAAAAGGTCCCCCCTTAAACATTTTCCAGCTGCGTCAGGTTCCGTACATTTTATAGGCTATTTAAACCGGTATTGCGGTATAAGAAAAAATAATATCGTAACAATAATAAAAAATGGTTTCGGTATGAACCGGTGTACCACCCAACACGTACCAGTATATTCCTTATATAAAGTGAGGTGACTTTAGATCAATGTGATATGTCGTTATTGTCTCGACTACAAAAGCAGTCCTCTGAAAAGCATCATTTTGAAATACCTACATTATGCCAAAATACAGGCGGACAAGTGCAAATTTCATCAGTAGTGGTTCTGAAGACCTAAAACTCTTAAAAACAAGTAGATAAGTATGGCCCACAAGCTGACCAGGTCCTTCTTGTGAAACAGGATTGTAGTAACGGAGGGAGAAAATGGCAGATTTTTCATCCTCTTTGCATATTGTCCAATAATGAGTTATTCTTTCAAGCAAAAACACAATATTACAATTCAATACCAAACTGACCTATGAGGCTTTATGAAA